TAAAAAGCCAGGGGAGGGAAAGCAAACACAAAATAAAGGGATTAGTGCAGCATCCCCTTAATATTCCGCCCAGTGATGGACAGAAAGAAGAAAAGCTGTTCTTGCAGTTCTCCCAGCTCTGGACCAAGGGTTTCAAGCAGCCAATATCATCCCCAGCTGGAGCTGTGGGGAGGCTCCCTCCTTCCCTCAGCCTGGCCTGACTCCTGAGGGGCGAGGGGCACCCACAACCCCCAAGTGTCAGCACTCACACCCTGCCAGAATGGACCATCTGCACCCACCTGGATAGCCCACACTGAGCACTTGGGTTTAAAGATGCTGCACTTCATGTTACAGATGTAGGAATGCTTTGGGATTTGGTGTTTCTAGTGCTGCCAGCCACTGAAACACAGTAAAAGAATGAACTGCAGAGGCCTGAAGGTCAATTATTCAGTTTATATTTCAGTGGGATCACTTGACATAACACCCAATGCAAAACATAAAAAATGAAAAACAACATTTTCTTCCTCACTTTTAGTTTTCTAATTTAGTGGTCCTCCTAAAAACAGGATTTAAAAAACAGTAGAAACAAAGTGCAAGACCTACTGTTAACCAGTGTGCCAAAACACCTGCTTTCTGTGTGTTTTCTAAACAGAACATGTTTTCATTAGACCTGATTACTTTCCTAATAATCTAAATTTATATGTGTAAAAGTGCATCCAGTAAGGGCAGGTGTTTCTGAGCCCACACCTTGCAGCTAAAGGATCAGAGGAGGAGTGGCACAGAGGGATCCAAAAGTGCCCAAGAGAGGTTCAAGCTGACTGTGTTTGGGCAGGATTATTTGAACCCAAAGTTCTCTGCAGCTGCCCCAAGCCTGGAGTTCACAGAAACAGTCCCCCTCCTGCCTCTTCTTCTGCCCTCTCTGATCAAGGGAGAATCACACAAAGCAAATGGCAGTAGAGAAATGCTGAGACCTGTGTGGCACCCCCAGGATGGCTGGCACCAGGGCTCATTCACTCCTCTGGCTGATGGGACCCAAACCCAGGTTTAGTTTGGATCAGTTCCATCTGGGATTTCAGGAGCAAACCTCTCTGTTTGGATCCAAGCGACCTCTCCTGGATTAACAACCTGTGGTCCTGTGGTATCCCAGCTGTGGACTAAAAGACTCCCATTATTTTCCTTGGGTATGTTCAGGGCCAGATTAGACAGCACTAGGAGCAACCCAGTCTGGTGGAAATTGTCCCTGCTCATGGCGGGGGTGTGGACTGAGATGAACTTTAAGGTTCTTCTCAAGCAAAACCACTCTGGGATTCTATGATTCTGTGAAGAGTCAATCCTGCATACTAATTTAAAAAAAAAAATTAAAAAGGCATTTAAAAAAGTGAGTTTTTGCCTGAATTAGGAGCTTGAAACAGGATAGCACATGAGGTATGGCAATGGCTCAACTATGCAGCACATGTGCTCCTGGCCCCCAAATGCTACCAAAGACATTTGACACATGCTAGTAAATTATGCCATAATCATCTCACAGCACCAGAAAAAGGGGAAAATCACACAGGACAAGGGAGCTACTCAGTGGCTCTACCGTTCACCAGCTATGCTGACAACCTAAGTGCTATAAAAATGGTTTTTAGCTCCTCATAACAAGGTCCCCCCCAAACTACTATTTATGGTAGTTGTTAATGTATTTTCCTCAAGAGGCCAGGAGAGCACACCAGTAAGTGTTTGAAGATGTACACACCTGTGCACCAGAGAGAAGCAAGGGCAGGAACAGAAAATCAGAGGGAACCAGACACAGGACACAATAATGCAGGACTGCAAAGCCCAGAATTGCCGAGGCAGGCTCAGCTTTCACAGCGAGCACACGCTGCCTGCCACAAGTGTGAGAAGGCACAGCTAAAAAAAAAAAAAAAAGCCTAAAGCCCGAAACTGCATAAGCTCTGCCTGAGCTGCCCTCACCAGAGACTTTCGGGGAGTGCATCCATACAAGTTCCAAGGCTTTTCCAAGGCGAGTTGAAGGAGCAGGGACACACCGTAACAACACAAAACAGCCCGGGTAGAGGAGCACGTACCTTGTGACAGCACCCACAGCCAAACAGGCGCTTGGCTTCCCTCCCTTCGTCCCCCGGAGCACACCTGCAAGGGACCAGCCCTGCCACCGAGATCGCCTGTGGGCATCCCGCTCCCCCTGGAGCTGGCTCCCAGCAGGGCGCACTGGCACTTCGGAGATGCGAATTCCAGCGTTTGGGAGCCTTGGGATGTCGCTGTGACGCAGCTTGTTCGAGCAGATCGTCCCTGGGAGCGACTCAGCGCCCAAATCCTACTCCACAAGCCCTGCACAGGATCTCCCCCCTTCACCTTTCTGGGCCAGGAGCAGCTAAAGGCTGCCTCTGCCCACCCGAGCCAGCCCCGCTGCCAGCTCAGCTCACACCTCCGGACGGTGTTTGTGCCAAATTATTTGTCCCTCAGTGGCGGGGCAGGGGGGGGACACACCCTGTGTCTGCCCCAGTGCCCCTCGATGCTCACTGCTGAGGGACTCCAGCCCGGCCGGGGGTCTCCAGCCCGGCCCCTCCTCCCTCCCTCCGTCCCTGAGATCCCCGAAGCACCCTAAGGGACCCTTCAGCTCTGACGTTTGTTCATTTTTCTTTCCTCGCCTGCTCAGACTCACCAGCTCCATAGGAAATCCTCTTCCTCTCGCTCCTGCTAAAGGACGCTCCTTCCAAGCCATGGATTCGGGAGTGCAGGACACACAAATCCTCCTGGGGGATGTGGAAAGAGGCATATGCCTCGGGTAGGGGTGACTGCCGGGTGAAAATGGATGGGAAGGCTTTTTTCCTCTCACAAGGTCGATGGATGTCTCCAAACCAGGGAGCTGGGGGGCAGTGCCAGCTCACTGCACGCTGCTGCACTCCTCACATCGTCCTTCTCAGCTCCACGTGGATTTGCACCTCCTCTGAAGGCAGAAATTGCCTGGAAAGGAACTTAGGAATCCTCTTCATCCTCTCGGGTTTCTGGCTTGTTCTCTCCAGCACTGCAGCGGTACCTCTGAGGTGGTTGAACAGGAAAGCAGAAACAGGAAAAACACTCCCAAAAAAAATCAAATTTGAAATTTAAAATAAATATTGGCCACATTCTCAGGCCTTTAGTCCCCTGCTGCTGAGCAAGCCCCATGAATTCCCATAAAGAGGAGTGTCTGACAGGAATGGACAGTGTCTGCTGGATTCCCCAATCCTGCTCTCCCTGCTCCCTGTTTCAATTGCACAACTATGTTTTAATTATTACCACAACAGCAAAACACCAGCTTTTGAGCTTTTTTCCCCAAAAAGATGGAAAAAAAGATGAAATCAATACCTTGTTTCCTCTGAGGGCATGCAGAGGCACCAAGACCAGCACATTTGCTCCTCCGTTACCTGCCTGGGCTGGGGCAGCACCTGCAAAGGCTCTGATTCCATCAGCTCACAGAGATGAACTGAGCACAAATCACTGGGATTCTGTCCCTGCACAGCCAGACAGCCCAGCTGGAAGTGAGGGGAGCACAGAACACCCCTGCAGGACACACCTGCTCCAGAGTTGGGATGCCCCAGGGCACAGTTTGGAGGGCACAGCAAAGGGAGCACACCCATCCCTTCAGCTCTGCTCCACCCCATCACTGCTTGTTTTTCCCTTCAGGAGAAGGGAAGAAGGCGCAAACAAGGCAAGAGATCACACAATCGGGTTATAAAATGAAACACAACAGTTTTATTCCAGCATCCCCGTCCCATGGAGCACACATGTCCGGCCAGGGGCTGCCAGAGGGATGACAAAGGCAAAGAACCACGATCCCAAAGGACACAGCCATTTGTACCACACTCAGATGCGGAGGGAGGCTGATTATTGCTGCCGGACGCTGGCAGGGCTCATGTCCTGAGGGGCTCTGCCAACCTGAGCCCACCTGGGCTCCTATTAAGGCTTCATCGGTGAGGTTCGATGCTACCAGTGCCTGCACGAACGGCAACACTGCTAAACACCCACTGCAAACTCCGTGTGCACTGCTACTATCACGATGGAGAAACAATTCCACATCAGGGCCGCCAGGGTGGGGGAAACACTCCCCGGGAGACCAGCAGCTGTAGCAGCACTTATTGCCACATCGCCACGCTCGCTGAAAAACAGAAACCTTGCTCCCTGCCTCTGCAAATGTATTGAGAGTGATAAAATAAATCAGCAGCAAAAAAGGTTGGATGAAGCCGGCGGGCACCTGGGGGCCACAGGCATCCCTATCCCGTGGGGATACCTGCGGGGGCGCTCCTCCAGGGAGCGGGAATGCCCCAGCACTGGGGCAGAGGTATTTCAAAGCAGGCATCCAATCCGTGCTTGGACGGACAGGAAGAGACTCGCTCCTCCAGCTGTCCAGGGAAGAACGGGAGAGACCGCCAGGGGTGGGCTGCAAGCAGCCACCGTCCCCCGGCCTGCGACCCCCACAAAATACATCCACACATCCATTATTGCCAACAAAGGGTTTGGAGAGCACCCCGCACCACAGGTAAGGCGGCAGAGTTCGCAGGGCTTGGTCTCTGGGTTTAACCTGCGGAAGGGAAGAGCTGGCTTCCGAGAGAAGGGAGAGGGACAGACCTGGATGCACGGTGCCTGAGGTATGGTCGGAGGAAAAAGTGCAGCAAGAAGGAGATGCGAGAAAACAAACAAAACCGCTTGGCTCTGAACATCTCTCTCGTGTGAAAATGATTGTCGAAGGAGTCACTAGTGAAAACAAGAAAACATGTTCGCTGTAGAGGTACCTTCCTACTCAAGGTCCCAACAACAGAACGCTCACCCGAGGTCCCGTCCAGTGCTCCCAGGAGGAGCAGGAATTCACGGCAGGAATTCTCCTTGGCACGCCTCCGGGGATGCCGCCCGGTCCGTGCGGTGAAGAGACGACCCCGATCCCGGCCCGGCCGCCCGGGAGCCTCCCGGTGTCCATGTGCGGAGGGAGACTGTGGTCCCCGCGGTGGGGTCACCCCCCGAGCTGCCCGGTGCCCGGTGCGGCTCTACCCGAAGCGGAACTTGAGCCGGTACCTGGCGGGGCCGGGGCTCCTGCGCGGCGGGGCCGGGGCGGGCTTGGCCTTGGGCGGCGGGGGCTTCTTGTCGGGCAGGGCCACGGTGAAGGCGAGCTCGGGGGGCTGCGGCTGCCCGAAGCGGGGCAGGAAGTGCGTGGAGACGTGCTGGGGCCGGGCGCGGGGGCTGCAGCCGCGCTTGGCTTTGCCCCGCTTGTTGAGCGCCACGTACCACGGGCGGCCCGAGCGGGGGCTGCGGTGCACGGCCGAGGCGTAGGTGTTGTAGCTGTTCTCCTGGAAGCGCTCCCGGAAATGGCAGTCCACCGTGAAGCGAGCCTGCGGGGACACACAGGGGACACCGCTCGCAAGGGCCGGGGGCAGCTGTGCCCCAGCGCTCCCTGGCTGGGCTGCCTCCCCAAAGCCGGCCCTAGGGAGCGGCTGGAAACACGGAGCACCAGGCACCTGACGGGAAAACCCCCGGTGGAGGTACTTCAGGAGCTGCTTACCACTCAGGTTTGGGCTTTCCTGGGGAAAAACATCCCAAAACCAAAGAGCAGAGCCCAGCACTGCACCTGTGTGCCCACAGCCCCGGAATTCCCGTCTGTAGCACCTGGCAGCCCCTCCCAAATGCTCTGCCAGGTTTTAATCTGATGGTGGGCATGGCACCCGGTGGCCCAAGAGCTTTCCCAGCTCCATTCCACAGCAACACCTCCAAACCACGGACATGGAGGAGATGCTGAGCTCTGCAGCTCCCAAACCAGCCACCCAGAGCAAGACCCAACCCCCAGCAGGGCTTTGTAAGCACAAGGAAAGTGTTCAAAAGCCCAGATTTAGCCCAAGAAGCTGAGCCTTACAGCACTAGTGACAGAGCCCACAACCTGCCACACACATTTTCGCCTCTTAGCACTTGGATTTAGGCCTTCTTCAGCTTGGCTGATCCTGAGGGACACCACCTCTGTGACTCATTTCTGCTCTCCCCATCTTCCATACCCCCTCCCCACTGCCTGCCCTGTGCACGGGCCTCCACCTTCCCCAGCTTTGCTGACCCTTGCTGCTCCCTGCAGCCCCAGTGCTCAGGCAGGACATTCCACATGCCTGGGAAGTGCATCAGCAGCTCCCTCACCATGATCCTGTCAGACGTGCCCACGTCCCAGCCTCTCAGCTTATCACTGCACCACTCCAGCCTGAAAAACCCATTTTTTTTCCCCACATAGGGCAGGGGTGGCAGTCAGAGCACATAGCTTGCTCTGCAGAGCTCCAGAGCAGTCCTGAAGTCAAATTTCCAAACCTAGTTGAGCAGAGATTTGGCCCAGCAAGGAATGCAGCAGCTCCTGGGAAAGGAGAATTACCTGGACAAATCTGTCCCCCCGGGGTCCGTGCTGGACAGGCACACAACCCCTCCCACCCTCTCCATGCTAAAAATGGCCAAACAGGAGAGCGAGGGTTTACCAACGAGGAAAAAGCCATCTGTGCACGCAACTGATAATTGCCGGGATAACTGTCATCTTCCGAAGCTGGCGCCTCTAAAAATGAACCACTCGGCAATTTAATTAAGCTGGCATAAAAAAAAAAAAAAAAGAAAATAAAAGAAAGAGAAGGAGGAGGAGGAGAACGCCTGTGAAACACCGAGCTGGGATGGAGCAGAGCCCAAGAGCGAGTTTTGGAGGAGCCCAGATTCCTGCAGGAATGAGTTTTGCCTGCGGTCCAGTGCGGAGCCCCCAGCCTGACTCCCGTATCAAAGCTCTGCCCTGAGTGACGGGCACAGGACGTGCTTTGTGCTGCTCAGCACTCATTAGGCCATGAAATAACCCCCGTCCTGCCAGCGCAGCAAAGAACAACAGATGCTGGGTTTGCATTATTGGCATTGTTCAGCCCAGCAATCTCGAGACATTTGGGTCAAGTTTCTACAAATCTGCAGCTCTCACCCGAGCCGGGCATCGCGTGTCCTCACCCCTGCCATGACCCTCCCAGTGAGGTCCCTCTCTGGCCCTGCCCTTTGTGTGTCAACAATTAACTGTGCCCCAATGAGGCTTGATTTAATTTAATGCCTGTGCCAGGGCATAAATCAAGGCTGCAGCTCAGATAAGAGGCCCATTGTATGCCAGAGGGGAAGGCTCTGGAGGGTCCAGCAATCTCCTCTCCATCCTTTCCCTCTCCTCCTGCTCTGCCCCTCTGCTCTCACCTCATGTATTTTCCTCCACAGAACCATTCCCCTTCTTCCTTAGATCCCATTCATACTCCTAGGTGATTTCTTAAAAGAAGCAAGCACCAGCTCACCCCTTAAGCATCGGTAGGCTGCAGGAGCAACACACCAGAAAGGCTTAAGGGAGAGAGAGGTGAGTTCAGAGATCCCCCTGGAGGTGATCTGCGGCCTCGGGCAGCGCAGGCACATCCGTGACATCCCCCCGGCACCGGGAGGTTTGTCTCGGAGCTGCGGGGTGGGTAACAGCCTTTTCCTTTTCCCCAGCCTTCAGCCCTGGCCGGGCTCCCTGGGAAGCACCTTCAGGGATGAAATGCTGCCTTACAAATGCCCCTACATGCGCACACACCTTTCAGAGGCACCGACTTGGGTGCAAGCACAGGGGCTCACTGTGTTTGCTTAAAAGGTCCCTGGAGCTGACAGCAAGAAACAGGGAAGCAGCATCCCGAGGTTGGAACCAGCAGCGAAATCAGCTAATGGATTCCTTCGACACGGAGAGCTGGGAAAAGCATCATGAGAACTGCAGGAAACCTCAGCCTTCATGAAAACATTCTGCAGAGGAAAGTGACCGGGATTTTCCCACCCTGGCCGCAGCCTGGCCCTCACCTGCCCGAATTCCCTGTCGCCAAGGGCAGAGCCAGCCCGAGCCGCGGCGCTGCCGGCGCCACGCGTGCTGCCCGCCGGGAGGAGACATTTGGCTAAACCCTTCTGCGCGATCTGCGGCAGCTAAAAATAACCCGGCCGTGCTCGGGGAGCAGGCTCTGCTGATGCAAACCACACCGAGCGCGCTCCTCACACTTTAAAGCCCCGAGCAGGAAGGTGGGCTCGGGGGGCTGCGGCTCCACCTGTCCCCTCTGTGTCTAGTGGCGCCGGTGCCGCCGTGCCGGCACTCTGGAGGTGTCACAGAGCCTTTAAAAATACACCACACATACTGGTAAGGGGGGCGGGGAGGGGGGTTTACTTACACTTGCATGGAGTTTTCCTTTTTTTGACATCGCTAAAAATTTGTTGCTGAAAACTCCTCGTATTCCTACAATCCCCTGAGACACAGCAAATATTTCCAAAATACCTAGGATGACAGAAATCCCAGAATAAATCACAGTTCTTTTCACATCGGCGTGACAGAGAAAAAAATAAATACAACTTAGTCTGACAGGTTTGCATTTCCTCTCCCACGTCCCTGCTCCTTCCTCAGCTGTCTGGCTCCACCCAGCTCCTGCTCCATCCCTCTGCCTCCATCCACTCTGGGATGGATACGGGCTGCTGGATGGGACTTGCGGGTTTTTTTGGTTCTTTTGGGTTTTTTTAATTGCATTTTGGGGCATAATTCCTGGCTGGGCTGTGGTAGAACAAGTTAACCACTGAGGAAACCACCTACACCAGCCTGCTGGGATCAGAGCTGCCCATGCTCATCCCACAGACTCTGCACTCGGGAAGTCTGGGTACCACAAGCCAGCTGGCACTGGAGGCACCCCTGAAGCTTCCGAACAGCCCAGCCTGGGGCACTGCGCAGCCCAGCCACGGCAATAATGTGACTTTTCTGAGCGTGATGGGGGCTCTGGCCCCCGATGGGGCACGCAGGACCTGCAGCTCGTCTGACACAGGAACTGCAGCCTCCCTCCGAGCATCCCTCAGCAGCAGCACCGACATGTCACCTCCCCGGGTGGTGCGGGGTAACTCGGGCACAGGGCCAGGCGCCCCCCAAGCCCTGCCAGCTGGGGGGCACCACCACGTCCCCAGATCACCCCTCGCACCCCGGGAGCCGGCACTGCTGCCCCGCTGCAGCCCCAGGGGCTCCGTGGCCACGGCCCCGGAGGGAGGAGCCCGCCGAGCATCTCGTCCGGCCCCGCAGGGCCGTGGGATTAACGTGGTGCCGGGAGCCGCCGCGAAGCCATGCTAAATCCCCCAAGGCTGGGTGTCGGATCACGGCTTCCCACGTTTATTTTAAGGAGGAAGCACATCCCCCTGAGGCACCCCAGTGCCAGCACCAAGGGCCTGGGGCACTTTGTGGGGGTTACAAGCTGCCACACCCCACAGGCCACGGGGCTCGGCAGCCCCACTGGAGCAGGGCAAGTCCCTTGTCAAACACCTGCCTGTCCCCAAGGGCACCCCAAACCCTCCTGCCCTTTGGGGGTGGCCCTGCTGCCATGGCAGACACACTCCTGTTTGTTGGGGTTACCCAGGGTCAAGCCCCATTTCCCAGAGGCCAAAGCCCGGGTTTCCCTGCCAAAAGCCATCCTCTTCTTCCCGAGGGCCTCCTGAGTGCCACAGCCCGGCACTGCCCCCCTGTCACCAGCCGGGGCTGGCTCTGCTCCCACGTGTGGAGCTAGTGTCCCTGTGGCCTTTCCGGGGGGGATAGCTCAGCTTAAGGAGGAAGGAACTGCACATAATTCAGGTCTCTGCAGGACAGCTGTAGCACCAAACCTCTGCCAGCCCTTCCAAACCCGTGTCTCCCAAACAGCCATGGAGTGGGGGCCTCTTTTCCTATCCATCCCTTTAACCCCTCCAGGCTACGTGTCCTACTGTGCCCACCAAACACTGAGCAGAGCTCCTGGCATTCCTGCCCAGGGGCTGCTCTCCCTCCTGGAGCCACGGCACAGTCTGGGCCCCAAATCCTTTGGTCCTGGGCAGATGTGGTGGCTGCTGCGTGAGTGCTCCCGACAGCTGAGCCACTGCCAGGGTCACCTCGGGCCCGAGCCCCCGGGCTCCTGAAGGGATTTTTCATCCCCACCTGCCATTTCATTCCCTCCAGCAGGATATCATGGCAACTCCGACCAGAGGATAAGCCGTGAGTTAGCACAGCTTTCTCTCAGGGGAACGTCAGCCTCAGTCCTATTTTTAAACTGAATATATCCTATCGCTGTGCTGGGAGAATGAGAATGCAGCGAGAGGGATGGAAAAGTCCCACTGGGAAAGGACCGAAAAGGGGCAGCATCTCCTTCTTCCCCAGGTGCCTGGCGAGGGGCTGGGGTGGCAGTGCAGCCCTCAGGCTCTCACACCATCCCCTCGGGCTGGGCAAACCCCCGGGTGGCGCTCCCTGAGGAACACAGGCATCTCCCATGTATCCCACAGAGCATAGCCCCCCCAGCACCCCAAACGTCCCTTCCCGGGCCCGCCGGGGCTGCAGCTCACCCCAGGCGAGGGCCACAGGAGCGAGGGGCTCCGTGAGCCCCGCGGGGACGGGAAACCCGCAAGGACGGGGATGCTCAGCCCCGGCAGCCCCCCCAGAGCTCCCGCTCCCCACTCACTGAGCGGACTCGCGTCGTGGGCACCGTCCACGCGGCCGTCGGGGTGCAGCTGGAGGTGGAAGCCGATGCCCACCCGGCAGTACAGCCGGCCCCGCCGCCGATCCGGGCGGCTCCGCGGGAAGCGGCTCGGCCCCGCCGCCGCCGCCGGGGAGGAGGAAGAGGAGGAGGAGGAGGAAGACGCGGGGGCGTTGCGGCCCCGCTGCGCCCCGCCGGGCACCTGCTCTCGCCGGGCGCGGGCGGGCAAGGCGAGGAGGAGGAGGAGGAGGAGGAAGGATGGGCTCATGCTGCCGGCGGGCGGGAGGAGGGAGGGAGGGAGGGCGCCGCATCCCGCTCCGCTCCGAGCCCTGGAGGGGGGGACCGAGCACGGGGGGAGCCGGGCCGCCCCTCCCCGCTATTTATAACCGGGCGGCGGCCCCGCACCTGTGCCCGGCCCCACGCCCCCCACCCCCCTCCCACCCCCCGTGCCCGCGGCAGATGCGGGGCTCGGGGTGCATCTCTCTGGGAATTAACTTGTCCTCCTCGCCGGGACGAGGCCGCGGGGCTGCAGGACCCTGGGACAGGCTCGGGTTGCAGCCCCCCGCCCGGGGTTCGGGGGGTGACACGGCAGCTGCGCGCTCAGCCCAGCCGCGGGCAGGGGGCTCGGGGCAGCCCCCGAACACAAAGCCGCTCTCCCTCACTCACGGGGCCCCGCTCAGCCCTCGGGGATAACCGGGGGCCCCATCACGACCCCCCAGTGGCATCTCACGGCCTGCAGAGAAGTGGTGGCGGCCCTAATCGATCCACAACATCCTCCTCGGTTCCCAGGCAAGGGGTACACAGCCCCAGCCTCCTGCCACCGTCAGGGTGACAGCACATGTGCCCAGTGTCCCCCAGCACCATCGCCGAGCTCCTCCCCAAACACAAACACACCAACCACACAGCAACAGCCCATCCATCCTCCTGGCACAGCTCTGCATGGATTAGGCTTTCCTCAGCTCCTAGGGCCGCTCCATGTCCTCAAAGCCACTGGAGAAACCTCACCTCGCCCAAAGCCAATAGGGCCAGACACGCCCTGCCCAGCCCGCGGCCCCCACTCCGCCCATGTGTGCCCTCAGCGCTGCTGTCAGCCGGGGCTGTCCCCAAAACCCCACCAGGAGCTGCCCCTCGGCCTGCCCAGGGGTGCTGCTGGCTGGAGGGCTCGTCCAGGCAGGGATCAGGTTCGGCAGGAAGGAGGCAGAGCCGGTGGCATGCCGGAGGGTGACCTCTGCCTCCCGAGGAAGCTGAAGGTCAGGGGCACACGGAGGGAGGGACACGGGCTTGAGGAGCTGCATCCAGCCTGGGTGACACCTGGCACAGGCTGGTGCGAGCAGATGATCTCACAGCATTGCTGCCATTTCAAACCATTTCTCAGCAGATATCTATATCCACAGAGCTATATGCACGGCGTTATATATAGACATGTATACATAGACTACCCTATATATAGATGCACATACCTGCAGGAAGGTCAGGGCACTCAAACCTTGTTTACTTCTCCCAGCTGTAGTGGTTAGCCTGGCAAAAGCCATGACTTCCACTTACCCACCTCCTCTTGAATTACACGCACATGCTAATTCCCAATCCAGATCCATGAGAAGGATGAGGAGCTGCAGGACTTCCTCACCTCTCAAGTGGTGTTTGTGCGAGACTTCCTGTAGCAGCACAGCTGAGGAGAGAAGGCCACCTTGCTCCAGGAGGACTTCCTCTTGGGCATCTTGGTGTAAAGGCTGCAGCTGGTACAGGATCACGGCAGCAAAATCCCTGTTCTCCATCTGAGGCAGCAGAAACCACTTCTGCCCCTGAAAGTAAAAAGCAAATTCAAAAACATTCAGAGTTACCATCCTGGGGGTGAGCGGGCACAGCAGCAGGCCAGGAGCAGAAAGGAGGCACCTGCATGCCCAGGCCAGGGATATTCACCTTGAGAAAACTTCTGTGGCCAGAGGTTCACCAGCAAGTCCAGCCCCCTCAGCTTCCACCCTATCATGCACCCTCACAGTTTCCAACAGCATTCCTGGCATCACCCTGGCTGCCAGGCATCCTCTGCTCACTCACACTGCTGTTATTTCCCCCCTGAAGAATTCCCAGACAACCCAAACCTCTGAGGGGGGGGTGGCCACCAAGAAGTCGCACCAGCCAGGTGTGCTTGCCCAGGCTGATCCCCAAGACCTGCTTTTGGAAGGACCCCCACTGCAGTGAACATTCCTGACCCTTTCTGGGGGGTCCCAGTGAGGCAGCAGAGCCCTTGGGGGTTCACTGATTGCCTGCACTCCTTGTTGTGGAATGGGACAGCTGCAGGACAGCATCCCCCTTCCCTGGGGACTCCCTTGTGCCCCTCAGAGCAACACCCAGCCACCCTCACTATGGAGAAGTGACTCACACAAGTCCCCATAGCACGAGGTATGTTTTCATCCTCACTGTGATACTTCAGAGCTCACAAACAGTGATGTGTGGTTCTGGATGCTTCCTAATTCTTCCCCTGCCTAATACATCCGTTTCAAATACTCCAGGCACTCCTGCAGCACAGCTCAAAAAAAGCCCCAAAGAACACCAACATAACAACAAACCAAACACGAGGTTTAAACCTAAATAAATAAGCAGACGTAATAGTGAACTTCCCAGAGCAATTGTGTGTAATTGCCTTTGGCAGTAGCAACCCTCACTCACACACACCAGCAGCTTCCGAAGCCTAATGCTGATGTTATGTTATTTAAATTATTCAGGGCTCAGTTACAGAGAAAACTCAGCAAATGGGGAGGCAAAGCTGTGTTTCAAGTGTAAAATTCCCCGACTGAAGATGAGAAGGACTCTTCTGAGCCTGTTTGATCTGCTGCAGAGCATCAGGCCTGCGAGCTGCACCGCAGAGGTGCTTCCCCCCTCCCTATGTCAGCCTGGTGCTGCTAAATTGCCACTTAAAAATATGCCAGGCCAAGCGTGGGGAGACATGAGACCAGCCAGCAGAGCCTGGAAACAAAACCCCTGCAGTGAGGATGTGCCTGAAGGAGACACCACAGTCAAAGGGGGATGGGCTGGTCCCCAGGTCCCCCCACACGTCCCTCTGGAAGAGTCCCCTCTCCCAAAACACGCAGAACTGCAGCTGCTCCAGGAGCTTTGCAGAACCAAGCATTGCATCGGGAGGAGGTGCATTAAAAAAGGTTAATTTAATTAGGATGATTGTCCAAACCTGTTACCAGGAGGGAGGGTGTGCATTAGAACAGGTGAATTCAATTAAGATGATTGTCCTCCTCTTATGTAATTAAGATGATTATTACCTTCGGGTGGTGGGGAAAGCACAGGTGCAAGTGGTTAACATGCCCCACGGGCACGAATGTCACCAAGATCACTCAGAAGCCACCTCACAAGCCACCGGGATAAGGAAAGAAAAAAATTCTAACAAGCGAAAAGCACTATGTCTTTAAATAAAGCTCAGAGCACTCCAGGCATTTCAGCATTCTGCAGGGCAGCAGTGTATCTCACAGAAACATCCCCCCCGTGTTTTGGTTTTTGTCTTTGTTCTAAGCACACCACTAACACGTTCTGTACTGCCCAGGTCTTTCCCCACTCCAAATCGGTCCTTAGCAGCAGGGAAAGCAGGGAAGGAATACCGTACAGTTAATGGCATTTTCAAACAAGGGAACCACTTCAGCCTTTCCTAGACAGCCACAGCTGAACAAAGCATTTTCCAGAGCTTGGTGTTGCAGTGAAATCCTAGTATCTGATTTTCCAAACGTAACCAGTGAGAGGTTAACTGGAGATGGGCACTGCACACAGAGGAGCTCGGTCTCCTCGCAGCAGTGGCAGCACGTCTGTCTGTCCGGCACGCTGCTCGGCACCTTCACACACAGCACAAAACCCAACATACAGATTTTGGGGTGGCCTCCACAGGCTGGCTGTGAGATGCTCAGGGGTTGTGAGAGCCTCACCTGTACACCTCTGTCCAGACCTAAGGGATAGAATCCAAGTGACATTCTGTACAGCCCGTGCCCACGCTGGTGAGCAGTTCAGGTGCCCAGTGCTAATCCATTCCCAAACCTACACAGGCACAGCTCCTGCTGGCTTGGGCAGGAGGGGATCAGGCCCCAGGCAGGCAGCTAGCCCCAGCTCCAGCCCAAAGTGCTCAGCCTGTGAGTCTGCTGCCCGTGGCTGCCTTCAAACAGAAACCTCTGTGGGTGCAAAGCTGCCTTCTGCTCCCCAGGAACAGCATTGATATCAGGATTTGTTGAATTATTATCACTGTTGTGATTTGCAGCATGGCCCAGCTACAGGGAAGATGGAGCAGTCTAAGGGCTGCAGGGCACAGGGAAGGGGCTCCCCAAATCTGAAGGCTGCTCGTCCTTACTCCCAGCTCCTACTTGCTGTTCCTCTGCAGCGCATCAAAGATGCCCCTTGTGGGTAGGTTTCAGAGGCAAATGCATCTGTGGGCTCTGGCAGAGGCTTACAGGGGCAGCTCTGTCTCAGAGAAATGCCCAGGCGATGCCCCAGAAGGGAATTTTTTGGGCTGTGATGTCGGGTGACGACCCTGCATGGGGGAAAGCCAGCTGGTGCCACAGCCCAGCGAGCTTCCATGCTGTGCAGAGACACAGCATAGCATCAACCACAGACAGGGAAAAAACATCTAAAGAAAAAAAAAAAAAAAAGGAAAAAAAATATGAAAAGAAAAAAAATTCTCTTCCTATTTCCCAAGCAGCAGAAATGATGACAAAGGAGCAGTATGTGGCAATGGTACCCTTGCTGACCTGAGGAGAGCCAGCATGGCTCTGGGGAATGAGGGATGTGCTGTGGCCAAGCCCTGATCCCAAAAGGCCCAAGGGGAACCCTCTCCATACAACGCCCAACTCGTCAGGATCATGGGCACTGCCTGTCCTTATTACAGCACGTTCTGCTTGTGCAGGAAGCATCAGCTGGAGTTTGATTTATCACTTTGGAGTTCGATATCCGATTTCACCAAAACAAAGTCTTGGATTAAATTCCCTAGCCTGTAGATTTTTGTGCTTTTAGACAGAAACAGCGTGAGCTTTGTGCGGCAGTAACAATGCAGGCACCTGCTGCACCACGCGTGCCCTGTCTAACAGTGCTTTTAGGGGGCTGACTGCAATTCCTGATCCAACTCCAGTGGGAGAAGTCCTGGGGTTCAGCAGAGTGCCTTCTGAGAGAGTCCCAAGGAACGCACAGAAAGCACGGTGCTGCAGGAGGCTGCCAGGGCAGGGGCACAGCGCACCACACGGCTGTGAAAAGCCATACAATATTTGGGGTAGATGGAGGAGACTGAAACCTGCGGGTGTGTGCTGGGTTCCCGAGCGCACCTTCGTGCAGGGGAAGCACCATCCCTCCAGCAGCAGCAGCACCCGGACAAGCGCAGGGAGCCAGGCAGATCATAACTAACACGGCCGCTGTGAACCTCCCCGGCTGCGGGAGGGAGCCGGCCCCAAAGCCGGCCCGGGGCTGCCGGAGAGGCGAAGCTGCGGCGGCAGAGGAGTCCTGAGCACCATCCCCGGGGGAAGGAGCCCGCCGGGGCCCGGAGCACAGCCGCTAGCCCCGCGGCGGCCCCGCTAGGTGGCGGTGCCCACCCGCCGCTGCCGCCCCCGGCATTCCCGCAGCCCGCCCGCATCTCCCGGAGCCCGGGGGAGCATCCCGGGAAACCCTCAAAAGCGGGACGCGCAGGGGTGGCACCGCTTTTTAAGGAAAATCCACGGGATAATCAGCGTCTCGCCCCCGCAATTAACGGCGGCAGGTGAGGCTATGTGTATTCCAGAGGCAAGGAATGAGAGCAGGGGGCTGCTCCGGATCCTGGCGTGGCTTGGAGGTTGCTGGTACCGGGGTGCTGGGGTCAGCGCGCTGAGAGCGAGCAACATCAGCGGGAAGCT